TTGATCTCTGGGTGTGCTTCTTTAATTTCTTGCCTAGGATCCCAACTGTTTGTTCAGTTTGTTCCAGACTGGAGCACAGAAGTAAGCTAATATGCACAAAGGACAGATGGTCAGGGTCCTTGGAGCCAAACAGGGAGCAAACCAAAGTGGAAACACAGACAGACCCCCTCATCCTCCCAGGCAAGAATAACTGAACACAATCAATAAAAATAACAAAGCAAAATAAACACAACCAATAGCACCTTTTGCAAACAAGAATATGGCAATAAACTTACCTAACAGACCCCTCTATCTTGAGAATCTAATAACTAACTACACATTAGTGGAACCAGTGTTATTTAAGTTCACTTAAGAAGGGCTACACTTCCTTTCAGCGGATTTTATTTCTCATTCCTTGGTCTTTATTTGAATGACAGAAACCAGATCCATGAAAATACCAAAGCATCCAATTCCTTAGGAATTAAACAGCAATAGGAATCAAAAAGGTATGACTTTTGAAGGCAGTGAATGTTGTTTCAACTTGCACATTAAAGTGCAGTTGTAGGGCAGTTTAAGACAATAAAACTCTGTTGCAACTCTATTCTCAAACCATTCAGATATTTCAGTGTTGTGGCAATGCTCATCACCTGGTAATGTCTATGGTCTGAGCAGAAGGCTGGAGAGGCTGACCTTCAGAGGATTCTTCCATGCTAAACCATTCTGCAACTTCATTTGACCATGGAAAGGACTGGCTTAGGGCAAAACCAACATAAAATTTATTGCTTTCTCCATAAGATTGACTTTTTATTAGCTTTTGTCTGTTTATTTCCATCTATCAACTTCCTCTAGATCTGACAAGCAGCAAAATTTCCACAAGGGAAAGGACAAAAATGTACAGGTCCAAAAATCAGTAAGATCTTAGCCGTGGCAAAAATAAGGACTTAAAATTGCCATGGGGCTAAACCTTTTGTATATGAGATCAGCCAAAACCTTCTGCTCCACATACTATCTCTCTGGAATACTATATTCACACAAAACAGTTTTTAATATGTGTCATGCTTTTATTTGAATTAACATTACAAAATTTCTCATAATCATATACTACACAGCATATATAATAAATGCAATTAAAACACTTAGGTCTTTGAAGTGGTTAAATATACTATATTCAAATTATTTCATATTAAAAGTCCAGTTAAATACAGCTTGTGGAATACAGAAACATGCTGGGAGAATTCTAGATGATTGCCATCCTCCCATACTGAAATGTATTACTTATATCATAGTGCTATTTCAAGTAAAAGGGGCAAGTTAAAAGGGAATGGGTGAAGTTCTGAAACTTTTATGTACCATGGCCTAAACTTAAGAAAAAATATTTTAGAGGCTTGCAAAATGACCCTGGTTGTGCCATCTGTACAGAAGAGATAATGAATTGATGGCAACATCTGAAAACATTTTGATAAGAGATTCTTCTCACACTTTTACAAAAGTACTGCCTGGCGATGGAAGCTGCCCCTGATTAGCTCATGTCATAAGGGCTTTCAGAGATCTGAAAGAAATCAAATTTGCTTCAGCAGAACGAATAAACATCTCTTCCCATTCATGCCTCAAAGCATTTGCACCAACACTATATAATTACATTTAATTTCACCATCAGATTCTCCTGGATTCTCTATTCCTCACACAATTTCAAAATTACAATATGTCTCCTTGCAGCTGAATGGATATGTACATATGGCAAAAAGTAAATTATTTCATTAAAAAGCAGTTAAAGTCGCTATGAATCATGTTAGTTTCTTGTACAGAACTCACACATACATTTCATTGTGATAATACCTGGTTATACAGCTTTAATCAAAACAAAGCAAAGTATTTGAATTGCTTTTTCTCCTTCAGTATGATGCAATTTGTTAATCTGCATGGCTATAAAAAGCTTTAGAGACAATAAAAATGCTATCTCACTGATCTCTCTCCTGTCTTTATTGGCATAACAGTCAATAATCATCTCACTATATCATTCCTAAAATCTAGGTGTGAAAATGAATGAAAGAAAAATGAATTCTGTTTTTATTTATATAGTCTCATGAAGTACTTGCAAATACAGTTGTTTTGAAAGCCAGAGAGAGCTTCTCTGCCAAATAACAGTCACTGTAAGAACAAATACTATGTACACCTCCACAGAGGAATCACTGGCAAGTCACTGGTTCTATTTAGTCTTTGGTCATTCTTCTAAAACCAAGATATATCTAATGGAACGATCCAGTCACATTGCAGCCCCACCTGGGCTGATGTTCCCTAGTAATGGTGGATGGCTGGAGCAGTACGTGGTTCCAAAGGGTTTCCTGATTTCATTCTTTTCCAAAAAGTACTGGCTTTTTCCAGAAGTACTGCATTCCTGGGGAGCATAATTTCATGTAAGATGCATTACTACTCTGGAAGCACATCTGTGCACATGCTACAGCCAGTGCTGTTGCTGTAAAACACTCAATACTGTATGAATATGATGTGTAGGAATATGTACTGTCAACCACACAATGTGTAGGTATGTAGCAGTGTTCAACTTGCACCTGAAACTGCTCAGAGATTCCAGTGGGTTGGAAAGTCTGGCACAAAACATCAAAGGCTTCTACAGAGGCCTCATGCCCTTTACCTCTCAGAGCAGACTATTTTTCTCCATGTACTCTGCTATCCACATGCAGAGAAAAATGGAAGAAAGACCAAAACCCAAACGAGAATGAAAAACAAGCACCTTGTATGAGGATGAGGAAATAACCTAAAACAACTACCCCAACAACAAAACAACCACAGGCCTCATATTACTTAAGGCATAATTTAGCACTCCCTGTTATGGATTTTTTTTTTTTTCCTAGATGCAGTTTTCTCAATTTAAGAAAGGGATGTGGTACTTCAGAGTACTAAAAGCCATTCCAAAAAAAAAAAAAAAAAAAAAAAAAAAAAAAAAAAAAAAAAAAAAAAAAAAAAAAAAAAAAAAAAAATCATTAGCTACAGAGGATTAGTAAATATTCCCAAATTGTAAAATTAATGAGTACTAAGGCACTGATTTTTGTAAGCTAAAGCTGTTGACAGCAACACAACAAGTGCAGCATCCTGTTATGTGACCAGTGAGAAAAGAGGCGCAATCAAATGTGGCAACTCTCCTCATAATCAGGATATTAATCCTGCAAATGAATCTCATTCACACAGGCAAAAACATGCCAACAGTCTGTATAAAATAGGAATGAGATGTGCAGGTATCTTCACAAACTTGAGTAAAAGAAATAACAGTCTCACATCTGCACAGTACTTTGGAGGCTCACCTATACTTCTTGACAAGCCTAATTAACTCAGGCAGAAAACCTATGCTAATACAGTTATATTGTGCCTGGCATTCAGCTTCACACTGCCCATCTTTCAGACATCCAAAGCATGATAAATACTTGTTGAAGCAAGAAAACAACATTTCAAAGTCAGCTTCTGAGCCCTCATTAACCCAGAAAATTTGTTCCAATTTGGACAGGTCTGAAATCGCTCTAAATCTTGGAAGCCTTCAGGTCACCAGGCTGCTACAATTCTTGCTTTGGCTCTGAAAGCAAATGCCTCCTAGGAAGTCAAGGCATACCCTGTGGTCAAAAAGGCTAGGGAAGCAAAGCACAGTTACAGGGATCATCAGCCTTATGCTTTACAGTTATTTTTTTGCAGTTGAAGGATCTTGAGAGAATTAATGACTTTTAACAGTCAATTAAAAATATGTTTTATCCTTCTAGTCTGTGTTAAAAGAATTCTAATTCTCATCCACAATTTTTCAAGTACCTGCAAGTTTCTAAATAGGTTGATAAAGACAAAAAAATAAATAATAGTTTTAAAACCCAAAACTTCACAACAACAAAATGCTAACCTTAAAAATGAAATGAAAGCTAAAGAAAATAATGCCAAGCAGCCAATGGTTCTGCTAACCCACTACCATCACCCCTTCTTAGTGAAGAAGTTCGAAAGCCACCTAAGAGTACATTTGCTAGAACAGCAAAATGTGTTCTATCCAAGGCACCTCAGTGATTTAAAAAATAATTTTGCACAGTTTACAATGGGAAAAGAAAATCCAATTATACTTACAATTATATCATATATGTTTATATTTAATTTTTAAACCAGAGCTAAAAACTATGGGAAAACTAAGAATTAGTATATTTACTATACAGGATCCAAACATACACTTTCTGATTACCAGTATAATTAATATATTAGACAAACCAAAAGACTTCACATTGATGCCTTGGAGCAGCTACCTAAAATAGAGGTTAGACAAAATTAAGAGTATAATAGCAGGTCTTCATTAAAGGCCTTTAATAGGTACACCTTGGGCCAATAGGTACACCTAAAGCCTCCAATGGATGGGTAAATGGACAAAGGTCACAAGTTAAAAGTTTGATCTATTTCCATATCAGGGGTTAATCCTCCAATTACAGTTTCAGGTAATGAAGTAATTTACTCCAAGTTTGTCCCCCACCACCCCCTTCACTGTTGTTTATATCTCTCTAGGCCTGAGACAATAAGGTGTCCTTGAGTTTCAGGCCGAGAGAGGAATTGCTTTGTCTGAATAAACAGGAGAACAGTAGCTGACAGGCTGTGGAGTTTTAGACTTATACAATAAAGAGTACAGGATCTGAAAAATATAAAATAAAAGCTAAATCCTAAGGCATCAACATGGAGAAGAGTTGGAAGTCTCAGTCAGAACTGACCTTCTGCTTCGTTCTTTAAACATGGCATTTTTACTTTTTATTCATCTTTTGTTAATGACCTTTTAATTCTCAAAGAATTACAAGTCCTTATATTATGAACGTTCTCTTGAGCAAATGAAGTAACCAAGTACCAAAGCAAAGAGCAGAAAGCACAGTCTGAGCTATCAAACCAGTGAACATAAACCATGTCGGTCTGAAGCAGGAATTAGGATTCCAAGGCGATACAGCTGAGAGCAGGGCTGCATTGCTGTGCTCCACGCTGCACAGCTCACACTGCCCACGTACCTGATGAAGTAATCTCTTCCATCTCTGTTTGCCGTCATCTCCCATCCATAAGGTGCTCCCTGGTTCAAGCTCCAGGTCCCTGAAGGGTGAGGCCAGCCTGAAGACTTATTCCTGTGGCTGCAATTGTGGAAAATGTGGAGGGGAAAAGAGAGAGAGAAAAAAAAAAAGTTATTTCTCCCTTGTACTTCATATTATTCACTTGACATCTGAATACTTTCATAGTTTTGAAATACAGAGTCAAAACCCAGGCAAGGGAACAGAGGTTAGCAGATGTATTTACATTTATTCTTTCAGTCAATAGAAAGATATGCTGTCATTTCTAACAGTCTGAGTTCAAACCTTTGGTTGGTGAATTTGTCACTCTCCATCAGTCCCACATACACAGTGCTAATTTTGAGCCATTTTTAATAAAAGGAACGGGAAGCACTTTCATTCATCACCATTCCTTGTTCAAATGCCAGCTCTCAGCACAGTTTTAGGGAAAAAAGCCAAAATCAAACCAAACCCCCCACTACATCACTGCAGATCACACTCACAGTGCAACACCTGGCACGAGAAGGAGCATCAACCTTCTCTCTGTTAGGAAACCATTTTTTTGCTTCTTGCACTGGAATGAAGAAAGGCCATGACACTGCTGCAGAGCATGCTAAATTTTCTGAATATGTAAATCTTGTTGCACTTGATCATTATCCATTAAGCTCTCCCACCAAATAACCTTTAAAAGGCTGCAGCATCTCCGAGCCCACACGCTGTCATATCCCACTGCTCCAGCACTCTCTGCTAGTATTCCCACTCCCAAAGTAGAACCCAGCAGGGCCAGCACTCCCAAGTGACAAGTGTTTTCCCACTAATCTGAAATATTTTGTGAGGTACTGACTCCATACAAAAAGAGATTCAGCTAGCAAGGATCCACCATAATTTCCCACAGGGATAGCCAAAGTTTGCACACATGCTTTTCCCCTCACTTGCAGGGATTAAGCTAGATATTACTGCACATTCCCACTTTCTCCTATGGGACTAAGGGGTTCAGAAGACAACAAACAAGTCTTTTAGCAAAATTAGTCAAGCCATTAATATCTATGTACAATCTGAAAAAGGGAAAGAGCAGGAAGAGACAGGGCAAC